GCATTGGCCTGCGGACTGAAGGGTCCCAGGTTCGATTCCAGTCAAGAGCATGTACTTTGGTTGCGGGCACATCTCCAGTAGGGGGTGTGCAAGAGGCAGCTGATCGATGATTCTCTCTCATCGATTGTTTCTAACTCTCTATCCCTCTTTCTTCCTCTCTGTAAAAAATCAATAAAATATATTTATTAAAAAAAAATACCAGTGGATCAGTTAGATGGCTAGCTTGCAAGATCAGATAATTAAGTTTATCTTTTCTATTCAAACAAAAAAGTTATTTTACAGTCTAAAAATAACAGAGTTGACCTACAGACTAAGAGACTAATAATAACAGAGCAGTTCAAAGAGCAGTTTCAAACAGCAGCTTTCCAAAGGAGGGATTACTATGCTTCAACATCACCTCATTAGTACGCATGCAGGGCATGCAGTTGGCTTTTCCATCCTGGAGATAATTGAGTTCCTGGGTTATAGCAGGAAGAGGGAGACAGCTGCTTCTTCAACTCCAGAGTGGTTCTCCTTGGGCTCAGAGCCTCACTCTCTGTGCCACAGTCTTTCCTGAGGAGCAGGTCTAGCCTCTCTCACTCACTATAGGGACAGACAGAACTCAGACTTATTTTCCTAGTTTACACTGCTCCCTGGGCTTTCCTCTCCAGCCAAATAGCTATCCTGGTTACAAAGCAAAGCTGCACATTCTGTATCTATGCACACAGGCAGGTGTATTTGGGAACAAGGAAGCAGAGGTGTTGGCTGTGCCTCTTGCACATCCCCTACTGGAGATGTGCCCGCAACCAATGTACTTGCCCTTGACCGGAATGACCCAGGCCCAGCCCAGCCAACAAAAAATTACATAGATAATTAACTGAAACGTGTGTGAAAGTGAAAGTAAATCTCAAGCCCATTGTCTCCATCATAAATATGTTTCTGTACCTATTTCCTCACTATTCCCTTGCCCCTCTGCTCCCTCCAAAAGAAAGCGTTGGTCACTTGGCCTTGTTGATTGTGCCCATGGCCCTGGCCTTGAACCCCATAATGCATACCCTAGAGGTTGAATGTTGCTTCAAGTTCTGGTACAATGCAGGTCACCAGAAATTTGGGGAGGTTCCATGATTCACAGAGCCATTGGCTTTTATTAATTATCTATGGATATGTAATAAAGTCCTCCATAAGTCTGCATCTTAAAAGGAACATTATTTTCCACAGTTTCAAGGGGCAAGAATTCAGGAGTGGTTTATTATGGTGATTCTGGCTCTAAGGGCTGCAGTCAACCTGTTGTTTTGAGCATCAGGTGTCTTCTGGGTAGAAGACCTCCCAAGCTCACTCATTTGGGTGTTGGTTCCTCCCAGGCTGTTGGAATGAGGGCTTCTTTGCCTCTCCACAGGGGCTCTCTGAGTGTTCAAAACACATGGCAACTGGCTTTTCCCAGTGCCAAGAGGTAGATCCCAGGGATCAACGAGGGAGAGAGAACCCAAAAAAGCAACTGCTGTGTCTTCTGTAATCTAGTTCCATAAGTGGCATGCCATCACTTTTGCATGGTCACACAGAGCAACCCTGATACAAAGTGGGAGGGGACTACACAAGAATGTGAATTCTACGAGGTAGGAATCATTTTGAGACACAATGGAAGCTGGCAACTCTGCCTTCTTAGACCTCCTACCTAGCTTTATCAAAGACTAAATATCAAAAGGAGGTGGTCCTAGCCTAGCGAATCATCAAGCAGTGATTGCTTTCTAATTCAGCTCGTGTTCCTGTGCTTCTCTAAGGCACTGTGACCTGGAGGGATGACTGATATTCTGGAGTCACATGGAAATACCATCAAATGCTATTATACTCCGCCCCTTCTACTAATAACACGTGGGTAGTCCTGATAAATCAAGTGAGTACATTCACGGAATTTGGGACCCATGCACTGTAATAGAAGGCTGAGCTCTCTTGTGTATCATTGGTTTAGGATTTTAAAATAAGTATGGATGTTTTTTTCTTGGCCTACCTTAGAAATACCTTTCCTTGGACCCTGGGAGACTCACTCTGGGACATTAACATTAGATTGTGAAAGTGGCTGCGCATATAAGAAGTTTCAGCTGGGTAACCTCACTCCAAATATTGAGGGCAGGGCTCTCCCTGGGCAAAGCAAATGCAATTTTAAAAGAAGCCCTTTAATCTTTAGGTAGAAGAGCTTTTGCTCTCACAACTCCTCCTCCCTCATCTCCAAGACTCATTCTCAAATGCTGCTCAGGATTTTTTTTTTTTTTTTTTTTTTTTTTTTTTGCTTCTTCATGGGAATTGATGCTGCAGAAAAACTGGTGGAGGAAAGGGATTTGGATGCTGCCTTTGGAATAATAAAATCAACCAAGCTCTGGGGGACCCAAGGAATGACATTTTAGAGAATGGGGAGGTCCTGTGCATTTCCCTAGGTTTTTGCAGCATAAGCTAGGCACAGGTTTTGTAGTTTAAGTTGGGCATCTGCAGGGCTTACGGAGGAAGCAAGTGGTAAAGATCATTGAGTTCACTGGGTTTCTACGTTGTTAAAGATATTTTGTCACAAATATTTATTGCCTGGTTTATAATACACAATCTCCATGTTCTGGTGGCTCAAGGATTGTTCTCTCATACTTCATGTTCAGGTCGAATTAAACTACGTGCTCTGCTCATCAGAGTCACTCAGAGGCCCTGGCTGATAAACTGTCCACCACTGGGCAGAAGGAAAGAGGGCTCTGGGGAGTCACGTGCCAGGTGTTAAATGTTCACCCACAAATAGACACGCATTTCCCATCATTTCTACTCATGATTCTCTAGCTGAACTATGCAACAAGACCCCACCCAACCGCAAGAGAGCAGGAAGTAGAGTCCTTTTCTTTACTCGGAATGGAGAAGATGGGCATTTGATGGGTAGCATTGTTGATAATCCCCACTGGCATCCCAGGGAAGCTGAAACGCAGATTTTCCCTTCTCTTTTGCTTTCTTGCCTACCTTCCTCCCCCCAGATAGCACTTCCTCTGTGTTAGTGTCGACAGCTGGCAGCAGCAATGTGGGGCTGGAGACTGTAATAGTGCTGCGTCTGGAAACAGCACTCCTGTTTAGAAAATGCTATTGTTGTAACTAAATGGGATGAGTCTAGGATTGGTGCTATGGCTTCCATATGTCCTCCTCCCCTTTGGAACTTTGGGAAAGTGGAACAGATGAGACTTGAAGTTGGAATTATTTCAGCAGTGCAGGTGCTGAAATGATTCTATCCATTCTGGTGGAAGACAACCCGATTGGTGCTGTTGGAGAGGGACCACTCTACCCAGCTGCCTGATGCCAGGTATGTCAGTGTGAAGTCAAGGTCACAGCAGGAAACAGGATGCAACTCTGATGTTTCAAAGGAAGATGCCTTAATTAAAGGACTTTCAGAGGTTTGGACAGAATTAAGGGAATCAGCAGGGTTGTTGCACCCATGGCTGGTAACAGCAGAAACCTGGTAATACCCTTAACTAATAAGAAGAAAGAAAAAGAGAGAAAAAAGGGCTATCTTAGCACAGTGAGAGCTAGAACTGGGGAGAAGGGGCTTCTAGACAAAGTCTGTAGTTATTTAAGTACACTGTTACTGCCAGAGTGTGTCCCAAAGTGGGGTAGAAGTGGGAAGAAATATTTTCAACCTACCAATCTCCTATTAGTGGCTCTCATTTGCTGAACAGGACAAGAAACCAATTAGTGAGAGAGCTCCAGTAATACAGTTCCCAGGGACCAGCCTCCCAGGGCAGAGAGAAGGGCAAGGATCTGAGAGAGGGGGGGGACAGAGGGGTGCTCAGGGAAGTAAACACAATCAGCACAGTCAGGCTGTCTCTAGCAAGGACTGGGCAGAATGAGAAAATTAAAGTGAGACTTCTGAATTCCAATTTCTCTAGGATTTTAATTTCCCCAAGGGAAGAGAGCTTTTATTTTCTCCATGATAACAAAGAAAGAGTTTGTACTAGAACTTAAATATCTCTGAGAGAATTTAATAAGGAGAGATTCATATGGTTCAATTTGGGACATTTTTTTTTTTATCATAGGCATTATGTATTATAGATGCTACTCACGTGTATACTGTCTGGTGAACAAAGTCCTATATAATAAAAGCCCAATATGCTAAGTTTCTGGTCATCTGGTCGTCTGGTCAATCAATCAAAGCGTAATATGCTAATAATATGCTAAGGCCACTCAACCGTTCACTATGATGTACACTGACCACCATGAGGCAGACGCTCCAACTGGTAGGTTAACTTGCTGCTGGGGTCCAGCGATCTGGACTGAGTGAGATAGGCTGGACACGCCCTGGAGCCCTTCCATAGTCCCTCCCCTGTGGGCCAACCTTCTGCATCCTTCCCCTACTCCAAGCATGCACTGGTGGGGTCCCTGTGCCCTCTCGCAATACAGGACCCTTAGGAGATGTCAAAGAGCTGGTTTCAGCCTGATCCTGCTCAATGCAGAAGCTGCTCCCTGGTGGTCTGTGTGCTCCCACAGGGGGAGCGACACTCAGCCATAAGCCAGACTATGGCTGGTGAGCGCAGATGCAGTGGTGGGGGCCTCTCCCACCTCAGTAGCACTAAGGATGTCTGTCTGCTGGACATTTCCCAAGGGCTCCTGGACTTTGAGAAGGCACAGGCTGGGCTGAGGGACCCCTCCTCCCTCCCCCCACCTCTCCCTCTCCCCCAACTATACAGATTTCATGCACTGGGCCTCGAGTTTTCTATAAATCTAGGAATTATTTGGGTTGAGAAATAAAATAGGAAGTCAATATTTTATAAGCCTGTGACCTTGAACTAAATGTCATCTTCTGTCCATTTAAGAAGTTTCTAGAGTCAGAAGCGGAACTGCCCATTTCTCTGGTCCTGGGAATTTATAAAAATTAGTGGAAAATGTTAGCGGGTAGCCTCCGGGGGTTTCCCTTGATGACTGATATTCTCCTTCACTGAAGGGGATTGTATCTTTCCTGGTTGGCCATAAATTTGAGTAAGAACCTTAAACTTTTTTTTAATTGTTCTTTATTGAAAGCATTCAAGCATCATAGCCTGAGGAAGTATTTTCAGTTCAGTTTGTCAAAATACTTCAGTTTTCCGACTGGATCTGGAATTATTGTTTCACTCCCAGGTTTCCAGCCAGCGGGGCAGACTTCTCCATGTTTATCGGCGAACTGAAATGCTTGGACCAAACGTAGCGTCTCATCCACCGATCTGCCCACAGGAAGGTCATTCAGAGTCATCTGTCTTAGGATCCCTTTGTCATCGATAATGAAGAGACCTCTAAGACTGTGGCCCAAGTCTTCCAGATACACTCCATAGTCCTTTGTGATCTGATGTGTCAAATCAGAAAGGAGTGGAATCTTTATTGCCCCAAGTCCTCCTTGCCTTCTCGGGGTGTTAATCCAGGCCAAGTGGGAAAACTGGGAGTCGACAGAGCAGGCCACCACTTCTGTGTTTATGGATTTGAATTCTTCAATTCTATCACCAAAGGCAATAATTTCAGTTGGACACACAAAAGTGAAATCAAGTGGGTAGAAGAAGAAAACCAGGTATTTTCCACGATAATCAGTTAACTTAAGCTCCTTAAAGTCTCCATTTATCACAGCAGTTCCTTCCCAATAAGGTGCTGGCTTGGAAATCATAACACTGTCTGCCAACCCTTCACTTGCCAAGGCCGTGTGGGTAACAGTCCTCTGACGAGCGAGCTCTCCCTGCTCCCATTCTTCTCCTTCCCTGGCCTCCTGTTCCACATGCAAGGGGAGTGGGGCACTGGGGGTTCGGGTCTGAGCCCCAGGGATTCGGCTCAGGCCTCTGCTGCGAGATCGGCTTCGATGATCCATGATGACTGATTGATTGTTGAACAAGCAGCCACCAAGCTTCAGTGAATTCTAGGCCCTATGCTGGGCCTCTAAGTTTGGGAACTGGGAGAGGAAGCTTGGGTAGAGAAATATTTCTCGATACCTCTACTCTCGGCTGAGCTGAGGTGCCCCAGTTGGTAGAAGGGGTTGCACAAAAGGGGGCCCCAGTGAACTTCCTGCCCACTGGAGAGAGTAGCCAGATAGGCCAGCTCCCAGGCCCCAACTATGTGCCCCAATTCAGTTCCACCAGAACCTCTTGGCAGCTGACATTCTGGGTAGAAGTTTGCTCTGAATCCTTCTGTCCAATGATATTTCCTGAGTGCCCGCCTCTGCAGACAGGCATTGTGCTGTCACAGTGGCAGTCACAGAAAGCTTGGGCAGAGGCCCTGCCCCCAAGGCACTCACCATCCAGCTCAGGACCATAAGCTTGGCCACCACATCACAAAGGCCACCACATCACAAAGGGGTAAATGTAAAGGAGAAAGCACTTCCACCAATCACCCCCCCTCCCCAACACACACACACACACACACACACACACACACACAACTTCCTAACTCCTACTCACCACCCGGAGAGGACCTGCTAGCCAGTCGTTGCTGTGATGGATTCGGTCTTATTTACTAGTTGGGATAGAGCTCAGCCTCCTGGGGCTTCCTGACTCAGGGTATTGATTCTGTCAGTTAGAATGAGAGAAAGCTTCCCAGTCCGTATTGTGTGGGTGACTTCACAAATTTCTTTCTCCTTGCATTTGAAGCTCTGCTCTCTCTTTTCCTAAGCATGTTGGTTACTGACCTGGAGGTAGGTAGCAACCCTGCGTAAGCCTCAATCAGACCCAAGGCTTAACTCAAGTCTTATGCATAATTAGGAGCTCTGCGTTGAGAGCTACATGTCATTAATCTGATGAGTAATACACACACAAGTGTAATTCTGCTTTCATTTCTTGTAAATGTGTCCTTTGTGTGCCTGGGAGACTGGGAAACGGACATTCAATATTGCTTGCCCAGCACCGTTTTCCTCTCCAACTATCATTTTTCTTTGGTAAGAGTATTTTCTTTTTGAAAAATTCTCCTTCCCTACTCCAATCATGCAGTTTGAGTGGGTGACTGTCAATCATAGGCTATGGTTGCACATGTGACCCAAAAAAGACCAATCAAGGAACCTGATCCCTTGACAACAGTAATGATTGGCCCTGCTTTGGTCATATGTCCTTCTTCTTCTTCTTCTTCTTCTTCTTCTTCTTCTTCTTCTTCTTCTTTTTTTAATATATTTTATTGATTTTTTTTTACAGAGAGGAAGGGAGAAGGGAGAGAGATAGAGAGCTAGAAACGTTGATGAGAGAGAAACATCGACCAGCTGCCTCTTGCACATCCCCTACTGGGGATGCGCCCGCAACCCAGGTACATGCCCCTGACTGGAATCGAACCTGGGACCCTTCAGTCCGCAGACCGACACTCTACCACTGAGCCAAACCAGTTTCAGCAATATGTCCATCTTCTGCACGTGTCATTCCTTATTGTTGTGTAACTGAATCTTGATTGAGAAGAGCCTATTCTTTTCTGGTAGTGACATTTGCAAGAGATGAGCATAAAGCAGTTAGGATCCATGTCCTCTACCAGCGGGACAAAGTAAGTCTTCTATAAGAGAAAATGAATTTGACACTTAAAGCAATGGAGAAAAGCAGCAAGAATGTTCCAGAGAAATCATGTTATCCTGCTTCTAATCTTCCCCAGCTATACCTATGCCCTTCCTGAAATCAGTAACATTCACTTTTCATCTAGGGTAATTTTCATCTAGGGCACCAAAGAAAGCCCTGCCTGTTTAAAGTAGGAGATTATTAAGAGGGAATGTGTAGGCAATTTTGGGCCCCTGACGGTCATACCATCTCCAATCTACATCTTTAAAATTATCATGAGGTAAGGTAGTGGCAAAAAGGGTCAGATCTCCCAAAGAAATTGGGGGATGATTCCCTTTAAAGCAGATCAGAAGCTGTTGAAGCTATAGGTTTGGGACACAAAAAGCACCATGCTCAGTTTAGGAAGCTTCAAAGAACATAGAACCATAGTGAAAGAAAATCCTGCAACATGCAGACTATCTTGTAAACCATGCTATAGCACTTGAACTTTATCAAACAGGCATGGTGAGCCACAGTGCAGCTGCCATTTACGAACTCTGACCTCTAGATTCAAATCTGATTTGCTTCTGGTTGGCACCTGTATATTAGGTGGTAAAGAAGGAAGGTTAGAGGTTAAAAATAAGCTCAACAGTTCTTGAAGCAGAACCTGAGGTTTTTGCTGGTCCCTAGAAATCTGAGGTGTAGAGAATGGGACAGGGCTAGTCATTAGTGACCTTGGACCACATTGCCCAGCCTCAGTGATCCTCTTCCATCTTCTCATTTGTGAAATGACATTTCTCATTCAGCCCAGGCTCCATTCTCTGAGAAACCTTTATAGGCTCATGTGCTGCCCGACACTGCCACCTAGTGAGAGCTTTTGGACATCATCTCACAGGATCGCCCCCCCACTGCTTCTGTGCCTCATCAACCTCCAAGGCAGGGACACCCCATCCTCTCTGCCTGGTGCCTCAGAGATTCTCTTAAATTCAAGTTCTTTGCCTCATCCTTCCACTCACATGCATACGAACACAAATCTCTATATGTGAATAAGCTCTAACACTTCCAAGCTATGCTCACTTACCAGCCTCATTGGCCCTCTTCATAATCAGCACCCATAACATAGATAGCAATACTGTCAGCACATGGCATTCCTCTGGATCTTTCACTCTCAGTTTTAAGTGACCTCAGCTTCCTCATATTCTTCTCCAATTATCTCAATATTTTGAGAATTGTCACTTCCAGTTGACAACTCTTGTCATCTCCATGACTGTAATGCTTGTTGTTGTTTTTTTGTTTGTTTTTCAGGACTGTAATTTAACCTCTGGTGGATGGCTCAGGTGGTTGGATGTTGTCCCATGCACTAAGAGTTGCTGGTTTGATTCCCAGTCAGGGCACATGCCTGGGTTGTTGGCTTGATCTCCAGTTATGAGTGTGCTGGAGACAGCCAATTGATGTCTCACTCTTGCATCTATGTTTCTCTCTCTTCCTCTTCCTCTTTTTCTAAAAATCAGTTAAATTTTTAAAAAATTAAAATCAATTCAAAACCCCTCTCTATTTTATCTCACTGGGATGATGTGTAGTTTTTCAGTTTATTCATGAACATCATACTTCTTTGTTTTTTGAGCTACCAATGCCCATGTGAGATATTAGAGACATCTGTATCTATGCTTAAAGGATACCGATACTCTCTCATATCTGAGCTACTGGTGCCATTGTCAGGAACATCAACTTTGCCAGAGTTATTGCCAGGACAACACTCCCCTGTCTCTCTTACCACCACCTTGAGTGCAAGAAACCCACAACTTAGCAGAGAGTGTTATGGCTATGGCGAAATATCTAGGAGATTAATCTGTGTTATGCAAGACTATAGGTACAATGAGGGAGGAAACTACTCAGTAGTCGAGGGGAGAGGTGGGCTTGAATAGCAGAAACTACAAGGGCAAATTCAAAAAGTAGACATCCTGCAGAGACATTTAAAACTAGCAAGCATGAAAGCTTAGTGTCAGAAATCAGGAAGAATTTTGGGGGAACATCTAGTGAAACATACTTATTATGCCAATGAGGTGCCTTGAGTCTTAATTCTGTCATGTTTTTGGACAAAATCAGGCAAGTTTTCTATTTCTAATCAGGTGGCCTGATTTTCATTGCCCCAAGTTTCTTAAGAAGGAGGGAGAAGCCCATGTGGCAATGAATGAAGGAATCATTGATTATAAGAAATGTACACAGCATAAAAATATGATGTTCTCATTGTACCACAAGGAACCAGAATAAAAGTGTGTACCTGCAGGACCTATGAATTGGGTCTCCTCATATACCCTCAGATTGAGAGTCTGGTATGTACCAAACTATACAGAGCACTGAAGATAAAAAGATTAAAAAGTAGCTCCTGTTCTGAGAAAACCCATAATTACTCAATGTACTCATGCTTCCTTTTTCCCCAGAATAATCAACTCCAGAATTCCTTTTCTGACTAGACCTTTTTTCTTTCCCTCCCCCCACTGTACCTGCTCACCAATCCCCTTACCACCTCCACCACCCATATCTCAGTTTACTCAGTCACCAGACTTCTCTCACCTCCATATAGGCCTTGGAATCCATATTACAACTATGTTCTCACCAACTTCTTCAAATTCCCAATGCCCTTGACCTTTGATCTCTCTACCTTGCCAGTTTCCAGTTTTGGTCCAACCCATGTTTTCTTTTATTCTTTGAGTAAAGACTCATTAAGTAGCTACCATGGGCCAGACACTTTTCTATATGCTGATGATACATCAATGAGGAACAAAATATCTCTCCTGAGACTTAAGTTCTAGAGGCAGAAGACAATTTTCATAAAAGAAATAAAAACATTATAAAAAGCAAACATGTAACATGGCATGTAGTAATGAAGAGCTATGAAAAATTAAAATGGGATAATAGGAGTGGTCAGAGAGGGACTCTTTGACCTGAATGAAGTAAAAGAGTAAGCCAGGAGAATATCTTGGGTGAGAACATTTTAAGAAGAAGCCCTGAGGTAGGAAAATATGGCTGGTGTGTTCAAGGAGCAGTATAACTCGAGTGGCTGGGCTAGCTGACTGAGAGAAAGAGTGGTAGGGAATGGAAGCCAGAGCCAGCTCAGACAGATAAGCTTTGGGGACATGTTGGGTTTCTCCTCTAAATGTGATACGAAGCCATTTGAAAGGGAATGGCTGAGTAGGAGAATGACAGAATTACTGAAGAAAAACAGAGTCAATCAGATGCCACTGTAGGAATTCTGGGGAGAAGCATTGGTGGCTTGTCTTATCGATAGATAGTGGCAGTCATTGGAAATGATAAGAAGTGCTCAGGTGCAGGACAGATCTGTAGGTAGAACTGACAGGATTCACTG